CACTCAGGGAAAGTTCTTCTGAGTATCATTTATGTTTGTAAATTTATTATAAACAAAATATATTAAATATAAGTACTTTTATAAGTTATAGTAAAGTTATATAAGTCAGAGAAGTACTATTAAAGTAGTATATAGAATAATGACTTTCTACTTCATTTGAACTAGAAATCCATACTAAGTCTATTAAAACTGTTTGAAACTAGTCTAATTTATTTTGAATGAATTTACAAACATGAATAATACTCAGAAGAACCTTCCTGAGTGTAGAGAGGTTGGGGGAAAATGCTCAATTTTAGCAAACTTAAATATGTATTATACTTATATGTGTATTCTGTATCCTAGTTAGGATTCAAAATGTAAATTAACAATAAAGTTATATTCTTCATTTAGACTAGTTTATAGTATTGTACAATCAGTTTTAGGGCCAGGAAAACTCATATACATGAAATATAGGGAAAACTCACATATTGTGTTGTATCTTACTCAATTTTTGCTCATTTTACTTTATTTTTTCTGGAATATGAAAGATACTTTAAAAGTATAATTTTTACAACTTAGATCATGTAATTTGGTTAAGTATTAGTTGAGTTATGATAGATTTTGTATTTGAGTGTACTTAGTGTGACGAAAATCACGAATCGCACGTGTGACAATATTTATGAAAACGACAGTAATCTGAGTAGCACGTACAATTCTATCTCTTTCCTTCCTGTGACGTGTCATTAAATAATTGTGCACAGTCATTTCATCTTTGGTGCGATTGTCAAGGTGTTCATGAGATATGAATTTAATCGCGTGTGAGAATCGAGAGCCTGCGGGAGATGTGGAATTACGGAGATTGGCACCCTTATTGGACATATAACACGCATTAGTGTGTGGTATACATGGCACTGCTAGACCTGCTGCTTACCATCACATAAGTATCACCAGATTTTGTTTTATGCAATACATCTGTATCCGGATTCCAGGTGTACTTTGAAGCGTCGCACTCAGACATGAGCTGATGAGTTGGCATTGTCTTTCTTTAACATGTTGTTGTCTACATGGCACGGATTTTATACAGTTTAACTTTGTACAGCACTGAGAATAAACTGCTTTGCAAATTACAAAAAGTAATCCGGCGTGTACACACGCCAGGCTTCCCTGTCCTAATGGCACCGTTCCTCTTGCTGTGCAAGCTAACGCTTGAGAAAAAGAAGGCCTGAGGCACAGCCAATACGTATCCAAGTCTCGAGAACAGTGATTTTTTTAGCACGACTCATTTGTAAGCATTGCTTCTTGGCAAACCCAACGTAGCAGCAGACTCGCATGCAAAACTGCAAAGTGACTGCCTGACGCCCTCCATAAGCTCTTGATCAATAGACGTTACATGCCACAAAGTGGAACTAATCCCTCAGATGATAATAATCATTGTGCAAGAGCACTAACTATGACACGTGCATGAAGAAGCCTTTAAAATTCAGGCGTCTGAACAGGAGTGCTGGTGTTTGGATAAGTTTGCAGACAACTATGAATATATTAAGTTAAGTAAACTAGATACACACTGATAACCACTTTGCCTTACAAACATTAGAGCTTTTCATACTCAATACTAGCAAGGACGAAGGCTGCTAATCCCTTGAGGTCATTGGTATCGACCTCCTGACTAATATATTGCTGGGTCAAAGGAGGATAAGGATCAACACAACGAATCGTTGTTGTGAGAAGAGACTGTATATTCTTACCTTAAAGTCTGCAGCACCATCAAGGGTGCCAACCTGTAGATAGCAAGACTCAGATCACGCGTTTAACTTGATCAGAGAAGAGACGCACTATGACAGTGCCCTTCCAATCCATTGTTCCGTCACCGTTGTCAACTACCCAGTGGTCCAACATGTATTTGTATGCTGCTTTCGCCACAGCTAATATGCCTCCATCTGGATCATCGAGAAATCCAAGCCTTAGGCCCTTCAAAAGGGAATACACATACATTGCCGCTGCACTGCTCTCGAAGTAGTTCCCTTCGCGACCAGGCTCGGTGATGACGAGCCACCACACAGGATCAGCCTGAGCGACAAGGAATGGAGCGAGTGTTTGCAGCTGTTTCAGAGCGGTGGTATGCAAAGTTTTCTGCACTGGGACGAAATCAAGCAGGTCGACGAGTGTCATGAAGTACCATCCCAAGGCACGATCCCAGACCTCTAGAGAGTGACCACGATCAGGCGATGCCCAGACAGCAGTGAAGGATGCGTCATAGCCATGATAGAGAAGCCCTGTATAGTTCGCATCGCTCGGGACTTGGACCGTGTTCTCGTACATCAGCGAAAGCTGCAGGTTGACATCGTCTGAGATCCGATTAACCTTGTGCCCTTAATATACATCCATAAAGATGCGAGACACTTACCCCACGCAGTTCGATTGTTGGGTTCAAGCCTATTAGTATAGTCTGCGTAAAACACGTCTCCCTAAGAAAAATGATAGCACGAAAGAGATTAAGAAGTCTCTGGCTTCGGAGATGTTGACAAACCATGTACACGCCGTCGAGCCTGACTTAAATGGTCAATTTTACACGCAAAGTATAGGAAGATCTCTGGCACACCATCCTTGATCGAAGTACTGGGCCTTGTGCCAAAACTGACCGGCGGGAGTACGAGGATGGGTATTAAACTGCCTTCTTAAGACATTTGCGGCTGTTCTATACTTCCTGTCTCCAGTCTGCTCATGCCTGTGCAGAAATCTCAGTAACACTCCAGTATGGAAGTAACTGACTCACAGGTATAGAAATGTAGGCCCAACTCTTAATGAATCGAGTTGGTACTCTGAAACACTACAATATTAACATGATTTATTTACTCAAGACAGAAAGCCTTGTGAATGAACGTACTTATACTTCGCAATAGTCCTACCATCATTGCTCAAAATAGTGTCTGCACCATTCTTTATGTAGTTGAAGTAGGAGACGTTTCCGGTCGATTCGTAGAGTAGCCGTAGAGCCCACTGGAATTCTCCGTGTTCGTAGCTCCAACCCGGTGCTCCATTCACGATGCCGTTTCCCTGACCCCGAAATATAGCTGAATCCGCAGCCCAGACTGCATACGATGATGAAACCGCAGCCTTCGCAACGTCAAATAACGCAAACAAAAGACCCAGTGCTGTGACTCGAAGCATTTCAAACAGACAAAGCTGTAGGAGGAATCTCACAGGATCGGTTAGGACCTAAAGGTCAATATATAATAAGTGCTGGGCCCGCGGAACCGATGCGCCAAGAGCACTCGGAAAATTGTTCATACACTCTACCGGGCCGGCTGCTCGTCGCTTCAAGGCAACAAAAGGTGTATGCGGAGGGCTTAGATATGTCAAGTGACTGCAAACCAGCTCTTGCCATTTCGCTTAACGCTGTCCAGGTGGCCAATTTGATCAGTGGAAGCATTCAGAGCGGGATTATCGGTCCCGTGCATTATCGGCGGAGGAAAAGAATTGATTAAAAGAGAGGTGCGTGTGTGCAAAGAATATAATGTCAGTCTCCATCACAGAGCAGCGTTTGAATTGGACGGTGGGAAACTGTGGTGGACGAGACAAAAAAATGTTTGGTAACGTCGATCTGTCGGTCATTATACAATATTACTATTTATGGTTATGTTTGCTCACGCCTGTTCGAAATTTGAATCGATCCCAGCACCTTCGCAATGCATCAGGCCACTTTAGAACTGTCTCACGGCTGCAGGGTGTAATATCTTCAAGGTTGCTTGCAGCACTATTAGACAGACTCGAGGGTGAAGCATGCAACAACCTCTAGGCGGCCAAATTTCCCATTACCTCAAAGGTTGAGCCGGGAGAGCTACATGAAGAGACACAGTTTTATGTCAAGCACCAAAATTTGCCGTCCGGGAATTGGAGGATAGACATGCTGAATGGTGTTGACAGCTTTGAAGAGTTTAGTAGGTCTCTTGAGGCAGATGATGAGCTAATGAACACAAGGATTATCTGCTCGTTCGAACACTGGATCAACAAAATTAATTAATTAATTCTGGCAGAAAGGCCAGTCAAGGGGATAAAGGTATAGACTCTAACGTGTTTTCTAGGAGCCACCCTCCGCCTTTTTTGCATTCTAGTTCACTATTCTTCTGGGAAATGCGGTCCTTTAGTGCAGACAATGACTCCCTCTCCTCCTTTCATGCCAATCGAACTCCTTCACCAGGTTAGCATCTGATTACACCATGCACATCTGCTATCAAGAGGGCATCCACCGTACGTATGCAGAATTGTACGCTTCTTCTGTATATTCACTTCCATACTCACGGTTGTGCTTCCTTGAACAAAATAGCCACTGTGCTGCTCGATCTCGACCCAGGCATGGACTGTACTAATGTAACGCTACCCATCAGCGGACTCGAGTGAGGGGGGTGACGCGCTACAAAATTCTCGAAGAGCTGCAGACACAGTGCAGTCGTTTCTGTGAGCGCGTTGGCTCACCACAGAAGGCAACGAGAAGTCATGGAGTAACTGAATCTCCCCACAAACTCATTACTTCCGAATCTGATGTCGTCCTGGAACTCGCCAGCAGGAGTCATGTCGATCAAAGGAATACAGGTTACAACCCTTCTATATATATGCTCTACGACGCATCATCTCGTGACTGCAGCACGGACTCATATTCCTTCATGGACTTTGTTCCGCATTTCTCTCCTTTCTGCCATTCCTTATGTTATGGAATCTGCGAAATTTGGAACGCTGAGACAGTTGCATTTGAGTTGAGTCAGCACACCTCCATCTCCACCTCCATCTCATCTCGATGTGAGTTACATTACACAACATTTTCCATACCATGGAAGGCGCTCAACACTTATCTGGTCTCCACATCTCCAGGTCCTGTCAGTCTGTTCTTGCACCGCCTGCACATGCATAGACGATGAGATTTTCGTTAATGACAAATATTGCATTTCCCCAGACGTCCGCCTTCATTAATTACATTTTGTGAATCAGGATCAAATGTGCGATTCGACGAGACGATATTGCCATAACGAGGCAGAATATTACGTCAGACTGAAAATTAAATCTCAAAGTTTAATTTCCAAACCTTTCGAACCTCCACTGAGGAACTTCAAATGGAGGCGAGACTAGCGACCCATGACTCAACTATCTCGGCGGTAGAGCCGCGCTGAGCCGTGGAAAATGATTATCATCTTAGGACAAACAAGTAATTAGGCAAATGGAGACGTATTTACGAACCCCAGAACCTTGTCAGCAAACGTAGTTGCCGCCAGTTGCCAGCAAGCATGCATGGGTCTAATGTGTTTCAGGGTGAGATGTAGACAAGATGATGAAGAATGCAATTATTTGCTGGTTTGGATAAACCCCAAGGGCACATACATGTCATATGCAACAGTATTCTTCGTCATAACATCAAGAACGATGGCAAGTTAACTTTTGTTAGGACTGCAGCTTGTAACGCAACGAAGGAATTCAGAACTGAGGAAAGCACCGACAAAGGAAAAGAGGAATAATAAAGGCCGCCGGACGGTGTCTTACTTCCGCTTCTTTGGTGCTGGAGTAATCTCTTCAACGTTTAAGCCTACAAAGACCGTCGTATACTGATTAATTATCACTCCAACTCCGAAGAACGCAGAATAATAACACGTAGACTAATAACACGTACCAGGAGGTAGGCTCTGCTTCAGCTTGTCGGCCTTCTCGTCATCTTTAATGTGAAGTGTGTACAAGAATCTCGAGCGCCGCAGCTTGAGCTTCGTCCCATTTTCGTTACGCTTGATGCGCACCGCTGAAACCCCCAACAATATTACCACAAGGAAATCAGAACGAGATTCGCGGATGTCACTGATCATATTCACTGACCTCTGGCATCCTTCATCCGCGCGAACTCGATGAATTGCTTGATTTCGGTGATTTGCTTCGGCTAGATGAATAGACAATGCGGGGCAAAATCAGCATTCTGAAGCCTTTCCACATAGTCAAACACGCACCATGTTGGTCGGCGGGCCAGTCTACCAGTCTCAAAAGTACACTCTTCTCAACTTTACGTCGTTGTAACGATCAGCACAGGATCGACAAAACTATATAGTATTATGTAAGAAAATGACTAATCTTGGGAACCTTGAACCAGAAATTGTCGAATAACACATAGTTTTTCTTTCGACTCATCCAACTTGTGCCTACGGACCTCCATGTGTTCATACGAGTCTGTCATGGGGAGTGCGCGAATGACAAAGTAGCGCAGAAAGTACTATTGATGCTTTCGAGACGTTCGCTTTGGACATACTTCTGCGGGCGTCGCTTGTAATCTCGGACCTCCATCAAGGTTGAAACATCAGGAATTCTTTCACCGCCGAGCCCCATTCGATGGTGACAGCATCTTCTTGTTCATCCTAGTGTGATTAACCCTCAGATGGCCATGAAGGGGTTACTAGCTCTATCAGTGTATGGTGACGTTCCCCTGTTCTACTGGATTCCAATCGACTATAACGCCGAACCAGTGAAGACATGACGTCTTTCTCATTTCTCTCCTTGAGATCAGCAGCTGCCAGATAGAAAGGATTGTCCATCGAGATTCGATGACGACAATGACGCAATTGATGAGCTCGTCGGTACACAACCCTGGGCGGCCTGAACCTGCTTTCGTTTGTCCCATTTGCCTCTCTCAAGGCTAGCTCGACTAGGCTCGCCTCGATAACGAAGATATGCGCCCATATTGTGACGTCAGATTCGGCTTTACTTCCTCAATTTGGAAATTTCAGAACAGCTGTATGGTGAGTAACCCGAAGCACTGGACGGTCCCCGTTAATTACTCGAACTGGCTAATGTTGTCGGATGCATAGGATCCTGGAGAACTCGGGTTCAGTAGTCAAATGGTTTGTATTGCGTGTCGTTTTGGTGAGCATGTGGTACCATGTTTCTTCAGCTTTAGTAGCTGTGTTGCTTGGCAGGCGTATGGTCCCTTTAATGCTAACACCGTGCTTTTCTAGAGCAACACCGTAAATCTTGAGAGGAACATAGCTTTCCGTTGTGCCTCCCTCTCAACCGATATACCCTCGTTTGGTATACGCTCGGTCGTAAATTATGTCTATGACGTATTTGTTTAAGGACAATGTTGCATTTTTCGGCGATATGACCCCCTTCAGCACTTCCTCCACAAAGCGGTGACTGGGATCCTGATCTACATCTTCTGTTTCTTGTGTTTGCCCTTGCATGCAGCGCCTGAATGTGCTTTAAGGGTTCTCTTTTCGGCCGCTTGATTATCCTTGCTTGCGCGATTGATCATGCCTTTAGGGGCATGATAATCGATCAATGATACATGGACATTACTTCCCTGAGCTGAGAGATGAAGAACTGGCTTTTCGAACTTGCTAATCTAGACGTGTCTCGAATTTCACGAGATAGTAGAGGCTCCAAGCCCTAGACTCCACAGAAGATTTTGAATACAATTCCCATCAACTGCATCGAATACAAAAGCGCCTTGCAGGGGACGGGTGGAGCCTCTCGGTTTTCACCCCACTTGCCTGCTTCGTACCTCAGTTCTCCTTATTTCATTGATCTCGCCTTTATGGGTTCAAAATCTACTATGTGGTGGAGATTTAACATCACCCGATGTCTAGGCCATATCACATGGACTCTGTGCGAGTAAGGGGAAAACTGCACCTTACGCTGTAGCTTCACTGCTGCCTGCCTATTCTTGTGTCGAAAGGTTGCTGCACTTGGAAATAATAGTGCTTCTTCGTGCGTCTTAGTAGTCATGAGTGGTATTATCCATAATGCCAAAAAATTACCTGATCAAGTAAGTCGTCTCACACTGTCTCCTTGAAACTGAGAATTTGCAGGGTTACGTATACTATGCTGGAACACTTTCAGCATTCGTGATTAGTATAACCTGTTCCCCAGATGCCTTTTCAAGACCTCGTTAGGACAACAGACTACCGGCTCTACATATCAATACTCGAGTAAGCGCGGCTACCATCCTGTCCGTATCAACATGGTATCGGAGTTGTATAGACCTAGGACTTATAGCTATCCTTTCAACGTTTCTAGATCATCCTGGTATCATTAATAAAGTCCCTAGGAGCCAATTCTTGGCTGCGAAAATCGGAACTGGAACCGCCTGATGCACAGACTACCTCCGCCCTGTGCAAGGCGTAAAATTCGCTATGCTACTGATGCTCGTCCATTTAAAAACGATGCGCAGCATCGACGCTCAAGCACAGGTCGACTTTAATTTATGCCTTCCTTTATCGTTCTTGCCCTTATCTCGTAAGGGAGTTGGGATCAAGCTACTGAGCTTGTATCTTACTTCGGAAAGGTTTTGTTGGAAGCGTGAAACGTTTTACGATCCGTAACGCAGAACCGTGATGCTTTCTTGTCGGCGGCGGTCGCCTCTGGCGCGCCATCATGTTGGCTTCTCAAAACTGGCTGGCTAAGAATAGCATTTGCTCAGCCTCGCCATCACCATCACGACACCTAGGATACCGGCGGTGAGTACACCCCATACATTCTATACACGACTGACTTCAGACAATAGGGTGTCAATTTCGTGAATAGCACTTGCGGGTTCGGGTGAATAGTCGCTTCCTCTCTCACTCCATAAGGAGTGCCCTCGACATGCATATGCCGACGTACACGGCTATCTGTTCATGCGAGACAGTAATGAATTTGCCTCGAGTCACGAGCATACGCGAAGGACACACCTAAAAGGAGTATGAACTCCTTGGTACTCACGGTCAGTAGAGGTATAGCAATTCGCACGGCGCTCACGCACAAAGACCTAGATTGAAACCCCATGTGTGCTGTGTAAACTCGATCCAAGGTCGACATCTGTTGGCATCATTTTTATCTGGTTGTCTATTTGCTACTATGTCCCTTTTTGATTCTACGGTACTACTCTGGCTGTATCAGAAGTAATTCTGTGCACATTACGGCGCGTTGTCCGCTCAGTCTATTAGTTCTTTGGTATCTATGCAAAAATGAAGTGCTCGATACATAGATCTCTGCAATGTTTTGTCGGAGCACAATGATGCTCAAGCCTGCTGCTCATCTGTGTTTCACTTCGAGATAAGTTTGAATGTGACTGGAGGGAATAAACCCGCCTTCGCCCGTTCACCGGCGACCCAACTTTGTTGTAACTTGTGTCACGGCGAGTAGAGTATAGACCCACAAATACTTACCGCCGAGAATCATTTCCGAGTCCGAGGCAATTCAGTTAGCCCATTTGGCGACTAATCATCCGTTCACGCGGTCAAGTTTGCTCTGCACAGCCAGTATGACTTATCCGCAAATGGATATTGTTGGCATGGCTTCCCCAGTCGCTTGGCTTGTGACGAACACTTCCTCCAGTTGTCCTAACTCTTTAAAAAGAGTAGGTCGAACACGGCTTAGACGCCCTTGTTCACTTTTACTACGGCCCTCTCCTTCACTTACTTGCTTCTACTATTTATTCCTTGACTCGCGTTTGAGACTCCTTGTGCTCTTCACCTTCACACTAATTGCATCTTGGAGATGGAAAATTATTCTACATTGTTGAGCCCTATCGACAACTTTGCTTTCTCTCAGTTCACAAACAGGTGTGTATTTATGCATTTTGAACTGGTGGCGATTTCTAAGTTGACGCCACGGTGCAGCAGTCCTACAGGGAGTAGCCCTGCTTCCCGTGGCAAGCAGAATCCTCAGAACATGCAGGACGTTCCAAGAACGCCTCTTCCGAAGCCGAGCAATGACTGGCAGGAAATGTTCGAAGGTCCACAGGCTGGACAATTCCCATTTGGCATATGGGATGAAAACCCATTCGGCTCCAACAAGCAGGTGAGGACTTGCGAGAGATGCGCAAAAGGCTACATGTTAAAGCGCGTACCAGATGTCTGCATCTCCGTGGAGACCGAATGTTTTTAGGACACTATCGGATACGTTCCTTGACTCGCCTCTCTCGTCTTCTTCATTCTTGTCTTCGGCGTCAGGATCTCCTTCGGTCCATCCATCGACAACGTGCTCTCCTTGGGAGACATGTCCCGGCCTTGCCCCAGCCAGCCCGGATATCCCTCTTCTTGACGAATTGTCTCTCGGTCTTCAAGGCTCACTCAACTTCTCAACCGATGATGCCGCAGCGTATGCAGTGAATAATGCACCTCTGGGTTCTCCCCTGCGGTCGCCTATCAGCCTCTCATACGAGGGTGACTCTGGAGTTATTGACACTTTCAACCTTATGGATTCCCAGCACCATGTAGCGACGACAATTGAGCCTTCTCATCTCATGTCGAACGCACTGGGCCTCGACTTATCTGGTAGCGACAATTCCAACCATCCTATGATGTCATCGACTATGCCGCAAATGCTTCCCCCTTTCGGCGATATCGTGGTGAGCCCGCCTCACAGCAAGGGGTCTTCACCCTTCACGGAGGCTAATGACGTGCCTACATCTCCTCCACGCTCCGTCCCGTCACACACCGCTGGCAGCTTCGATGCGTTCTCACCATCCACTGGTTTTCCCTCTGAAAGCTCTATGCACAATCGCACCACTAGACGCAAGACCTCTCGTATCGACTATGCTGAAGCCGCATACGATGGAGATAGTGATGAGGACCTCGAGGAATCCGCCAACAATAGTACTATTCGCATTAATAAACGTCGCAAGGCAGGTGCTGAGTCGCCTTCGTTCATGTACTCAGAGAGTGATGAAGATGGCGAGCTTGGTGAATTCGGGGTGCGTCGCGGCCGCAAGGGCGGCAAGCGCTCAGGAACCAAAGCTGGTGCAGCTGCAAACACAAAGCGCAAGAGCAAGCGCAGGCACCATTGTCCGCTCGAAGGATGTAAGCAGTCCTTCACACGTGTGACAGACATGGCTCGTCACCTCGCCAGCGTTCATCGCACAGTCGATACAGATGCGAACCGCTGCTCGTTCTGCCATAAAGCATTTTCCCGCGACGACGCAGTCTTGCGGCATGAGAATGACAGCTGCCCTATGCGCCCTCGCAAGAAGACGTCTCCTGCTGAACTATGGGTCTGAAACTGCTATCCGTTCCTTGAGGGACTACTTTATTACTTCAATTATCTTTATTCCTTTGCTGTGGCGATCTTGCTATGCGAGGTTAGCGTGAAGTCTTCTTTTTATATGGATTCTTCGTCTCATAAAATGTTCCACAGGTATTTCTTCACATTCATTAATCTTCACGACATAATGCGATCCCTTCCTCATCACTCATTTATCAATTGCACGGCCAAGAGCCGACAGCCCATCGCTCCGTCTTATGCTGGCATCTCCCGCATCCGCACATTCCTTACGACATCTCAAGATAGCTCATACGACACCATATTTACACTGCTTTTCAATTGGTACATATTTATCTCATCCTTTCATTTGGTCTTTTTTTTCTTCGTTATATTTTCTTCCCTTCGCTCTTCTATCTACCAATACGTGTATCAAACGAGCCCTCTGTCATAGAGCCGAAGTAACAAAAGTGCAAGTCGTCGAAATTAGATAGAGTAATACCAAACGATGTATTTTATGATATGTTGCTTTTTCAATTATTTGCTATGTTTATTTTGTAGAGGAATAACGCATAAAATTTAATACATGCTTCATTCTCATATCCATCTTGATGAAGTATATAGTATCCTGATCGCTTGTCAGACATATACATTATTGTAGGTCCCAGCCAAATTTGGCTCCGTTTGGATGAGAGGTTTGATCCTCGAGGCATCGCTTCAACTACTAGTACAAGGTACCTGGAGCTCGATCTGTTCTGGTGATGGGTTCCTGTGGTTGAACCGCCCTGGTGTCCTAATTTTCCAAGTGGATAGTATAGGATCCTACACGCACGGGGATTGTGTAGAAGTAAAGTCGGCTTTCTCGGTAATCACGATGCGAGGAGTCCGTGGCGGTTGATGTGTTTCACGGTGAAATGACGGGAACAGTTGTAAATCCTTGCGTTGAATACGATAGGAAATTAACTTGGTCTTCCTTGTACTTTACATGCGAGAGCTCATATAGGGATTAGTCTCCTGTTTTTTCAAGGAGTCATGGGCATCTTCTGAATTCGCAGGTTTCAACATAAACGTCTCCTTGTCAACGGAGTCAATCTCTATTTGGTTGTGCGTCCTCTGTTAGCTTCGGAGGTCGGCCCATGGTCACGGAAGGAAAAGGAAGGTGGAGCTCTTCAAGTGGCACACGGAGAACACCTTGTACTTTTGATCCTATTCAGCGTCTCAGATTAATTGATATTCGTCTGGAGGTCGAGAACTCATCACAGCGCAGGCCGAGCTGTGCTCGGTCGGCCCTTGACACTATTTCGATCAGTTAATTGACAATTGAAATGACGACGTATCGTCGAGGAATTTCGAAGTTAGCAATTATCGTAAGGACTAGTTTGTACTAATTGTAGAACTTCTGCACAACCATAACACCTTTATGATGCCAGTAGCAATCAAGGACGTACTTTGGGTGGATACATCACGGGTTGCAATAGTGTTTATCCCATTTTATACTTGTGTACTGCCGTTGCTCGCAGAATCACTGGAACGTTACGTTCCGGCGTGGATTCGGGTTAATATCCTTACGAAACTAGCCTTTTCTTAGTTCTAGTTTGTTGTGTTTTCCGAGCGGCTGAATAAATGAGCTGTACGTCCATGAGAGATGAAAAAGGGAAATCGAATCCAGCAGTCCCACCGGACTCAATCCGACTCCTGTTGAGTCTTGCAATCATTTGGATTTTGCGCTGACCGCTAGGCGAGCATCGGAAAATCAAATTGATTGCACTCGGAAGAGAGACGTAGTGATGATAATCAGAATTTCCTTCTCCGAAAGGTCGCCGATTCAAATGCTCCGGTCCTAGGAGATGATTTCGCGTAGCACAGGACCTGCTACATACTGGCACTCGCTGAGCCCGTGTGAAGCATTATACATAGACGTACACTTCTTTTCGTTTGATCACTCTATCGAATTACTGTCGTTTTCATAAATATTGTCACACGCGCGATTCGTGATTTTCGTCACACTAAGTACACTCAAATACAAAATCTATCATAACTCAACTAATACTTAACCAAATTACATGATCTAAGTTGTAAATATTATACTTTTAAAGTGTCTTTCA